AGACACTTTATATACAAAACATGAACTTAAATGGGAAGAAATATTCCCTTGGTTTTAGGGAGGGGAGGGGATTTTGCTGTAGCTAGCAAAAAGTTTGGAAAAAGAAAATATTAAAAGAACAAAACTTGCAGTATCACTTGGCAAGAGTGATCGTGCTGCTTGGAGAGGGCAAGAGTGCCTGCTTCACCCACCCCGGCAGCAAGAGCCTCAGTGCTTCGTGACATTGAATAAGATTGGGGTCTTCTGCACTAAAAAGCTGATGTGTGGTCGTATGAACTGTTGGCAGCAAGTGCTTCAGTGGCCAAAAATGATGCTGTGTTTGTACAAAACAGCTTGAATTGCTCGGTGAGCCCAGGCGCGCGCTGGCAGCTGCTGGTTCGTGCAGACACATCCAAGGCCGTGCCTGCAAGAGCGAGTGCTGCATCCTGAACAGCAGCTTCCAGTGTTATCTGGGAAAAAATGAACACTGCTTTGTTCTGAGGTGCTGGTAACAGCCCAGACAATCTCTGTTTTGTTGCCTAGAGTTGTAATTTAAAAAAAAAAAAAAATACCCAGTGGGACAAATTCTGGGGTGGTTGTCAGTAGAAGCCTGTTTGAGATGTCCTCTCAGTTCCTCGGTGAATCACTGGATGGTGCTTGAGCTGAGGCAGCTTTTCATCCACCTGGGTGTTCGTCTTGTGACTGTAGATCATATTTCTCCAAGTGGAAGTGTGCTTCATGCCTGCTCTGGCTCTTTTCTTTCTCCCCTTTCAGGGAAAACAAACAAACAAACTTTTTACACAGCATATTTTTGAGATAATTGCTAGTAATTAAGACTCCACTGACAGTTCCTTTAGAAGTTGAGACTTAATTTCATCGGGTCCTGCCTGTGCAAACTTGTTTATTTGAAACTTTCTCTGTTGTTTTTTGTCTGTGCTCTGCCTTAACTACTCTCTCCATGTTATAAATGGTTGTGCTTCATCTTCTTAAAGTCCAAAAGGAAGAGCACCGAGTGCTTCCCTCTTGCCCACCGCGTGCTCACTTTGTGTTTTGTGAAGGGCTCTTTTATTTTGCTTTTCTTTCTTTATTAACCCCTTGGGTCACTATTTGGTGATATGATCAGTCGAAAGAGTCACAGAGTGGAGTGAGAGAGCTGATGGGGTTGCTGACGTGGAGAATCTACGGGACTTAAAGCTGGACACAAGTCAGTGAGTGGCAGTCGTGGCATTGCACATCTGGTTTTTATCTGCAGGCAGAGGTGAATGCATGATTGGAAGGTAAACTATGGGACAGACATGGGTTTAGTGAAACTTGGCCATTAAATTCTGCACTGGAGGTGTTAATTGTTTGTCTGTCCTTAAAATTTGTGGAATCTGTAAGCTGGCCAAATCTTTTTACCCACATATTGTTATATTTGAGTCTCAGTTATGCAGCAAAGTATTCCTGTTTACTAGTGACACTTCTTGTTGCTTAGATGAGGCCACCACCTCTTTCTCTTTACATTCAGGTGAAAGTAAAGATGTTCCAAAAGACAAAATAATCCTTGGAGTCCCTATAAATGTTTAATATATTCCATCAGAGCCAAAATCTTTTTAGAAACTTGGAAGACCTATGCTTCCTTTTTTTGCCCAGGGAAGCAGAGTGAGATGGTTCCTTGCAAGTCTTGCACAGCTTTTAAATAGCACTTGAAGGCAATGTTAAAGTCATTTCTCATACCACTTAAGCAAAGGAACTCTGATAATGTTTTATGTTTTGGAAACATTTTAGTTATTGTATCAGTATAGAATTTACTCAGCAGTAATCTCTCAGCCTCCATATGTTGTCTTTGCATGATTTATAGCTCTTTACTTGATTAATCCCTTCCTTAGGCATATCCACTCATGGATGGTAAACAAATGAGTAGCAGAAATGTTTGCAGATGCTTTCTTCTGCAGAACTAGCCTGATCCCAGCCCCTCCCTGAGAGTTTTCTCCTTGTACATGAATGCAGCCCATCCTGTAAATTTATCACCTGTTTGCAAAGGCACCAAATATCACCTAAAATCCCTTAAACTCTGAGCTGTAGTAATTTCATAGAATCAGAGAATGGTTGGGGTTGGAAGGGACCTTAAAGATCATCTAATTCCAACTGTGTGCAAAGCACTTGGATCAACTGCTGTGAGTTACAGGGACCTAATTTGCAGTTTCTGGTGTTGATGGATTAAGAGATTAGAATCTTTGATTCTCACAGGTTTTTGTAGAGTTTGCTGGACTGGACATTTGAAAGAAGCCTGTCTGCTTCTGTAAAAGCACAGTGGGAGCAGTTCTTGCACTGCAGCACACATATAGTTGTGAATGTTATCGTGGGGGCTGCTTTAATATTAAGATTTAAGCACAGGGTTAGCTAATTAGCTGAAGTAGCACGATGCCTTAAACTCCTGGAGCGGAGGAGAAAAACAGGGATAAGGTATGACAGGGAGTTAGGAATTTAGTGGTGTAAGAAAGACATCGATGGAGACTTCAGAGGAATCTGTTCATCATGCCTGCTTTTGAGTACTTTGGAAATCATACCTGTTATTTTTATATTCCTACTGTGTTTTCACTTGGAAAAAAAAATTCACTTAAAAAAAATTACACAGATTTTCTGGGGAGAACTTTAAATTCTGTAATGTAGCAAGTGCCTGTGGGTTTCTAAAGGTGAAGAGATTATTTGTACTCAAGGAAGAGAAGTGTATTGAATAGCCTGGGGAAGGTGAATAGGTTTTCAGCATGTGGTCTGTGGAAGCCTGCAAGTTGGTGGGCAGCTTTCTGTGGGGAAGGGCAACCTAGCTGGTGGTGTCTGCTTGGATTTCCATAAAGCTTTCAAGAAAGCTTCTTGCTAAAAGCTTTTGGGAAAGTGAAGGCCATCAGGGATAAGGGGAGTCTCTGCATTGCTGAAAAATTGGTTAGAAGGTAGGAGGTAAAAGGTAGATGGTGATGGTGCCCTCATGGTGTCAGGAGGAGGGAGGTCACCTGTGGAGTGACCTCCTGGACATACTCATCAGAGACCTGGGAAAAGGGCTCAGTAAAGAGACCAGGAGACTTGCTGACGGGACTTCTGACCAAGACTGTCAGAATAGTGAAAAGGAGATGTGACTGAAGACTTGCAGGGAGATCTTGTGTATCTCTGGGCACATGGAAGGTGAAACACAATGCAGGTAAGTGTAACCTGCCTTTGGGCAGGGAGAGCAATACTCATCTCATGGCAGATCATGGGCTCCAATCTCACCTTCAGCATGCAAGGTTAACTTCTGAGCATCAGGCCAGATGATTCTACAAAAAAACTCAGATCAGTAGCAGTCACAAATAGATATCTGCTATGGTGCTGTATGGAGTTGAGGTTCATCTACACCTTGCATAACTGCTGCAGTTCTGGTCTTCCTATGTCAATAGGTGTAGAATAGAAATGAAAGCTGTGGAGAAGGGCAGTGAAGATGATTGAGGGTATTGAATGGCTTCCATGTAAGTAACAAGAAAAGTTGTGCTCTTCATTCTCTCAAAGAAATTGCAGGTGAGGAGCTGCAATAGAAAGCTATCGAGTGATACGTGGAAGGTGAATGGAAAGAGATTGTTTCTTTTCCATCTTTGGGTACAAGAGGCAGGAAATGAAACTAGCAGCTGACAGACCCCAAACAAAAAACATCTTTACATAACGTGTAGTTAAGTTGTGGAGCTCTGTGACCAGATGTTGTGAATATTAAGTTTATGTGGCTTTAGTTGGAGACTGGATAAATTCATGGAAGATAAATCCTGAGGCTGTGTGGAATTCTTCAAACCCATCTGGCTCAGGAAGCCTTTGTAATGCGAGTGGTTGGAGGCTGAGGAATGTGAGATTTTGGTCACCAAAAGGTACCAAAATAAGTAGGGTTTTTGATCTGACTCGGAACATCTGCTCTTCCATCATCCACAAGCTGTCCTAGGCAAGCAGACACAACTCTGCCAAGGTTTGGTGTAACGTGGATGTGCCAGAGGACTTGTACAACCTTACATCAAGGATGCTTGACCTTGTGAGAGGAGTGAATTTCATAGAATCATAGAATGGTTTGGGTTGGAAAGGACCTTAAAACTCATCCAGTTCCAACCCCCCTGCCAGCAGCAGGGACACCTTCCACTAGACCAGGTTGCTCAAAGCCTCATCCAGCCTGGCCTTCAACACTTCCAGGGAGGAGCAGCCACAGCTTCTCTGGCCAACTTGTTCCAGTGTCTGACCACCCTCACAGTGAAGAACTTCTTCCTAATATCTCATCTAAACCTCCCCTCTTTCAGCTTAAACCCATTTCCCCTTGTTCTGTCATTAACTGCCCTTAGGAAAAGTCCTTCCCCAGCTTTCTTGTAGCCCCTTCAGGTACTGGGAGGCCACTAGAAGATCTCCCCGGAGCCTTCTCTTCTCCAGGCTGAACAGCCCCAACTCTTTCAGCCTGTCCATTTGATAATAAATTCCTAAAATCACCCCATGACATTGCTCCTGTGATCTGAACAGAAGTTCAGAAAGTCGCAGAATACAAAAATCGATAGTTCATCTTGGACAAATCTTTGGATGGTAATTTGCTGAGTCCCAGAGGCTCTGATGGCCTTTGCTCTTTAGCTGGGGCTGGCGGTTGCACCATCTGAAGGTGGTTGCTGTGATTTCTAATGCAGATGTGTGCTTTGGTTCCTAGGTGACCTGTTAAGTAGCCTGTTGCAGAGTCCCAGTGCGGCCAAATTATTGAACCAGCCAATCCCTATCCTTGATACGGAGAGTGAATATATCTGTTCCCTGGCACTGGAGTGCCTGGCACACCTCTTCAGCTGGATCCCTTTGTCTACCAGTATCACTCCATCACTCCTCACCACCATTTTCCACTTTGCTCGCTTTGGCTGCGACACCCGCGTTCGGAAGATGTCTTCTGTCAACGGCAGCAGCCAGAACTCAGTGTTGGGACAGGAGCGTGGCCGACTTGGTGTCTTGGCTATGTCTTGCATCAACGAACTGATGTCTAAGAACTGTGTGCCCATGGAGTTTGAAGAGTATTTGCTACGGATGTTCCAGCAGACTTTCTACCTCCTGCAGAAGATTACCAAGGAGAACAACGCCCATACGGTGAAGAGCCGGCTAGAGGAACTGGATGAAAGGTAAGAGCAATCAGACAGCTGTGCTAGGGCCTCTTGCTTTCTAAAGGACTGTCTTTCTTATTTTGTGGTCATGCATGGTGTGTCTAATGGCCTTTTTTTCAGAGTACTGTGCTGGGGGAGACAGGCAGAAAGGTAGGTGCCCACAGGTAAGGTTCTGGTAAGGGGCTGAGTTTGCTAAGGGACCGTGGTGGCACAGGTTTGTATTCTTTCCTGTCCTCTTCCTCCCCTTTCCCCCGTTCGTTACTGTTTGACTGCAGGTCTGAGGTGGCACAAGAGCTGAACCTGCCCTTCATTCAGTTGTAACAGAAAACAGAAGAGGCTCAGTGAGGTAAAGGCATCTCAGTGTCCCCTTTCCTGGTCGGTATCTGCCTTCTCTGCTTAAACTCCAACCTTACAAAGAGTGGGTAGATATTCTGCGAGTCTGACTTGAAAGAAAATAGAAGTAGTTTCTTACCCTTCATTGAGACGTGACAATTTCTGATTGCTTTTTTATTTTTACTATTTTTATTTTTAAACAACACTGAAAGGCAGCTTGGGGAACTCCATTTACAGCAGCCGTGAATGGCTCCACCGCAGAGGCTGTCTGGCACGCTTGACTGGAGGCAGCAGGGAAGCAGCAGCATCTTGGGAGGCTGTGGATTGTCACTTTCTAGAAAGTTACTATCATCCTTGTTGCTTAAAACAACTCAGTTCTCTTATATCAGATATTCTGACTTGTAGGAGAGAAAGTGAGACTCGTCTTGCTGTTGTGCTGCGTGGTTGAACCCGTGTGTTGGCAGGGTGGTGGCAGAGGTGATAGCTTGATGCTGCCATGGGAAGGTGGGCAGACTGGTGCTAAGGTTGGCAAATAGGTTGCAAGTGTGTGAATGTTGCTACAGATACTTGATGATGGAAATAAATTTCTAGTGCTGCTGTATGAAATATTTCTATTCCCAGATGTGGCAGCAAGGCTTTTGGGTTTTTATTGTTTTTCTTTGATACCCACTTGGGAGAAGAAACAAATTTAGGAAGAAAGAGGAAAGAAAAAAAAAAAGTCTGTGGGTCCATCTGTAGAGATGACTTGCGTGTTTCTTCTGTAAAATTCCCTTTTTCCATATCTTTAGATACGTGGTAACTTTGGGGTAGTATATCTAGATTAATTGTGACTTCTGCTTAACAGTGAATTCTACTTACTCATTTTGTGACTAACTCCCTCTGACTTCAGTATCCCTGGCTTCCTAGAAATAGGACGTGTTCTAGGACGGTAGAAATAGACCTTTGCATACAAGGTATGTGCACAGAGAGCCAGGGGTTACACTCTGGCTTTCAGAAAAGCTCTCCTGGAAACCTGCGAGCCCTTGTTTAACTTCTTTTTAGTGTAAAAAGTCTACAAGCAGCCTTTACTGTCGAGGCTGTGGAAGGTCAGTAGCTGTGCTGACCTTCACAGAGGTGGTATTGCCGTATCATTGTTGTGTTCTGTGCTTAGATGTGTTATCCACAGAGGTTGTTGGTGTCTCTCACCGTGAGACCCCCTCGTTATTCATTGCTGAGGTCTGAAATAGGGATGTAACTGAGATGTTCTGGAGGCAGGGAGAACCTAGCTGGCTTCTGGAGGAGTGGAGCTTTCTCTGAGCTGACTCTGTCCTCCCCATGGAAAAAGATGTGAGGACTTTCCTGTTGTCACTTGAGGACATAGCTGTACTTTACTTACCACGTGAAAGTGTCGTCCTGGCTTGGACCCACAAAATCCTGAACAAAATTGTCACCGAGGAAACCCCCTTCAGTAGATTGCCATCTTCAGAACCTGCTTGCCCTGGGTCTATCCTTTCTCTTCCTCTCGTGGTGCTGGTTATTTTTGTCCTGTTACAAAATCAGTGTGATTTTGAATGGTTGGTACTGCCAAACTAATCCAGAAAGTATAAGCTTAAACTATCTTTTGCTTTATTTGTCTTTGGATTTAACTTGAAGATCCCAAAATGTGGGAAATGGCTTGTAAGGACACGAGCAATGGTGCAGTGGTTGCAGAAGGAACTTTGGGGTTGGCAGAGCTGGAGGCCAAGTAAGAATTTCACAGGTCTCAGATCAGAGCCTCTTTAGAAAATAAAAATGAAAAAAGAAAAATTGAAGGCAATGTTTGTGCCTAGACTCTGTGTTTTTTGCTAGATTTACTTTTGGAGGGTTTGATCAGTGATCAGGTGTGTTTAATGATGTCTTGTCAAGTAGGCAGTGCCCAATAAAAAGGAAATGTAATCTTGTTGCATGTTCAAATTGCATATTGTGTGGTTTTTGTAGGCTTGTAACAGCCACAACGCTGCAGCTCTTTGTTAGCTGGCAATGCTTCTGGTCTCGAGTAAGTTTTTGTTAGAAAGAGTGAGGGGTTTCTCCCTTAAAAATAAATAGTTTGCAGAGGGGGAAAGCAAGGCAGCACAGTAAAACCAGGCTGCTCAAGCGTGTCTGAAACTTTGCTAAGCCTCACTTCTTATTTAGAAGAAAAATTTGAAGTACTCTTGCACTTTAGAGCTCTTACCACATGGGAAGGATGGGCTCCTCTGCCCACACCCCCAGCTCGTCACTGGATCACCACAGCTCTTGCTGTCTCTGATGTCGGCGTGTGTGGGTCCTGTATAGCGATGGAGTCTCTAACACTCTTCTGAACTGATAGATATGAAGACAATTTCTAACCTTGATGAAGCTCACGTTGCACAGAGCGTGCTCTTATTCCACAATAACAGCTTATTCCACTGTGGTCTTTGTAATTTTTCCCCAGTCACGTTCTCAAGAACCCACCAGTGCTTGCACCGGGATCGTGCTCTTGCTGGACTCCCTGAAATGTTGGTAGCAGGCTCCTTTTTCAATCTTCACTTTGTACAGTCCCAGGCATTGAGCAGTCCCGTGCTTTGGAGGAAGATTTGTCTTTATAGTCTAATTCAGTCACAAAAGCCTGGACTCAGTTCAGAAATGTGCAGATACTTGATCTGCACTGTGGAAGAAACCATCCTTTGCAGCTCTCACCTCCGTGGCTCTCCCACTCCCTGGTGTAAAACATTAACATGTGTATTGCTAACTCCTGCATTAACTTCTTGCTTCCAGCTGAATTCCTCAGTGGTACAGTTTATGTCACTAATCCTGTCTACATCAGTAAGATGATCCTTGCTATTAAATACTTATTTCTGTAGGGTGGGGGGATTGTGCTTCTTTGCAGGCCTGATTGAACTCAGTTATATTTATCTGAATATTAAAGTTGCTTTTGACTAGACTGTCTTTTCTGCTGTTTCAGGTATTATTGGAATGAAGGGTTGCCCGTCCTGTAGGTAATTGTTGCAGGGCTTTATATTTTAATTGTTCTACTGGCTGTTAATTGTAACTTTTCTTTTTAACAAAAGGATGTTGAGTGAATTTTATCACTATTTCAATGAAATTGTTTTCCCTTGTGGAGTCCTTCACATTTTCTCAGTTATGTTTTCTTCTTTCCCTTGTAGCTACATTGAGAAGTTCACGGACTTTCTCCGTCTCTTTGTGAGCGTCCACCTACGAAGAATCGAATCCTACTCCCAGTTCCCCGTGGTTGAATTTCTGGCACTGTTGTTCAAATACACTTTCCATCAGGTACAGCCCTGTGACATTGTTTTTCCTCGGCCTGTCCTGTTGTCTTGTACAGCAAGGCTAGCTTGTTCTCTCCAGAGAAGCTGATACCTAAAGTTAGCTCAGAAAAAAGCAATTAACTTGTCTTACTGGCACTTCCCCAGTAGTGCTGGTGACTTGGAAATGGCTTAATGTGCTTTTGGATTTAGTTGGAGAAGCAGTCACGTGTAGTTACCTTGCAAGAACAACTTGCCTTGTGTTTAACTTTTTTTCTTTGTCAGGAAAATCTCTCTAAGCTTGCTTGTTTTGTGTTTGGGAATGCTTTTCTTTCTCCTGAATCTGCTGCTTTTACTCTATCTGAGACTTCCCTTGTAACTTCTAGTTTTACTATTAAAAAAAGTCCCCTGTGGCTTTTGGTATGTGTTACCTTGCTGTAGAAGCTGTCACGATGCCCCTCAGCCCTGTTTGCCCCCCACATATGAGTAGGTTTATAAAAGCAGGTTTATAAAATGCTGGAAGCTGATGTAGCAAACCATGGGATGGCTTAATGCTGAGACCAACCTTGTAATTCCTGGGTTTCCTACCCTTGTGCAAAAGCTCTTGCTCATCTTTTGACAGCTATAAATCTCTCCAGTGACCTCCTAGAAATTTTTCAATAAAGTGAGAAGTTCTTCCCATGGATTGAAGTGCGTGCTAACTCCTGTTTGCATTGTGTGAAATCAGTCTCACCATAGCTCATGATATTCACGGTGAGTTTTGGTGTGTTTCAGCCTACCCATGAAGGTTACTTTTCCTGCTTAGACATCTGGACTCTCTTCTTGGACTATCTGACTAGCAAAATTAAAAGTCGCCTGGCAGACAAAGAAGCAGTACTCAACAGGTAAGGAGCTGGGGAGCTGTCAGGGTGTGACACCTGCAGAGAAACTTCATGGTCACCATGGAAAGACTGTGAGAAATAAGCTGTTGCTTACTCCAACTTCACATGTGGTTGAGTCCTTTCTTTTTCTACAGTTGTAAAGTATAAAAAGTGTAAACGTCAGTGTTTCACTCTTTCAAAATAATTCAAACTCGGCAAGTTAGGGTAGAAAAACACACTTGTATACATTGTGTGAACCTGGCAGCCAGAGGAAGAAATCTTTGCAGTCTACAATGGAACTGTAACACACTTTAGCAAATTTTAGAGCATGTTTTAGCACATATTAAAGGAGGAGAACACAGATAAGTTGCCTAGTAAATGTTCACACAGCTCATACAACTGATTAATTAATTAAGAAATTTTTTTATTTAATTAGGATTTTAAAATTCCTGTGTGGATATATTTCTGAGAAATACTGATGAGACTCGGTTTGGAAGTTAAATGTTCCAACAGTGGTTGGCAGCTCTTCCTTTGTAGATGCTATATCCTGAAACAGGCAGCTCTCTTTTGATAAAAGTCCCTTTGCTGCTATTTTAAAAATCTGGTGAATACACTGATATCTTGTTCAAGTTTTGGAGGCTTAGAAGTGCCCTGGCTTGTGCACATGGCATTCTGCTAAGTGCAGAAGGAAATTTCTTTCCCTGTGAGCACACTAAATGTAAGTGGTTGGTTTTTGAAAGGCCACTTGGCATGGCAACCACAAAGAACAAATGTGGAACTAGCTTACACCAGACAGCGCTCTTCCTTTCAGCATGGGAACTGTGGGGTTTTCAGTTTCTCAAGTAGCAGGTATTTGGATTTGAATTTGGTTATAATTTGTTCCTAATTTGCTGCTCTCACCCTAATGCTTTTGAACTCTGCCTTGACGTTCTGCTCCTCTTCTTCATCTGGCTGATGTGCGTGTAACCTGTGTTATCTCTGTGTCAAATAGTTTGTTGTGGGGAAAATTGAAATAAACAATAGCTGTCTCTGTAGGAGATATGTCAGACTATAAACAAACAGGAAAAAAATCATGTCAGTGGTGGAAGCTTGTACTGTTCTGTCAGAACTACCTGTCCTTAGTGACAACTTCTAAAGCTACAGCTTCCTGCTCGCTCTCAGACGTGTCAGCGCTGCAGTTTGACAGCCTGGGAGTGGTTACACCACAGAAGCACAGAGGGAAGTTTCCTGTTCTGTGGTTTATAAACTTTGCATTTTGTTCACGTTACCACTTTTACTACTGGATAAATTGCCAAATCCAGAGTTATGTCATGTGGTTACGGAAAAGATGGTAATTCAGCCACCTTGCCCAGACAGCTCTCAGCTGACTCTGACACTTGGATTGCATTGTGCTCTGGATCTCTGTTAGTGTATGCTAATACCTAATTTTCCAGCCTGATCTCACCTAGAAAAGAGCATGATTTCTTTTTCCATTGAACCCCGTCTGTTTTGAGAAGTTTTTAAAACAAACAATCAAACCAAACCCCCTCAAAATCCCCAAACTTTGGCATTGTGTCACCAGCAACGATTGCATCCTCAGTGGCTCCATGCTCATTTTGCAACTTGGCATTATTCTTAGGTGATGAATGAGAAGGAGGATCTTCTGCACTCTCTACCAGCTGCATAGCTTCTGAGGGGTGAAAAGATATGTGTCAGTGGCATGCCTTTAGTGTCACCATGAGAGTGGGAAATGTGCTGGCTTTGTTTCAGAGGACAAGGCCCTGAATTCATTTACCAACAGTTTAAGGAAGGAGGAGAGCAGGACAAATAGCCTCAGGGGAGGTCCCCTTTTGAGGCAGACAGCAGTAACCCTGCCCTGTTTCATCTGTTCCTCATTCACTGCCCAAAAAGCAGAGCACCAGACAGGTCTGCTGAGGAGCAGTTTAACAACCAGAGGCTGTTATGTTGGTGCCTCCTGTTCGTGTACATCTGCTGTTATTCCTGGCAAGCCACTCCTACCTTTCCTGTTTTGAACTCTTGGGCTGCTTCTGTTGCTAAAAGTTTTCCCTTTCAGAGGGAGAGGGATATCAGATATTACTAAGGCTCTTTCCTTGCAGGTTGCTTGTGACCTGAAACAGGGTGATGCTCTTAATCCCAGGATCTGCTTGGTGTTTCCTCAACAAGCCTGTAGAATTGTGCTGCAGGCTCTTTGCAGTGGCTCTCTTTGAACTGTCGTGTCTTACATATCTTCTTTGCTGGAAGAGCAGTGGGCACAGCAATATCTGCAGAATTGTTTTACCAGACTCTTGCTCTGTTTTCTCTGTGGTGATAGGTACGAAGATGCCTTGGTTCTGTTGCTGACAGAGGTGTTGAATCGAATCCAGTTCAGGTATAACCAGGCACAGCTGGAGGAGCTGGATGACGAGACACTGGATGATGATGTAAGGAGCAGAGTTGAACAAGGGCAGCTGCAGGTCCAATTAACTCTTGTGCTGGTAACACCTCAAATGTCTTTCCCAGAGCCTGTACTTTGGATTACAGGCTAGACAGTTTCTGCTTCATTCCATTCTGTGTGCGGTTTGAGCTTGAAAGCAGCATGAAAGGCTTTTAACAAAGATGTACTTGGTCACACTGAAAGGGTATGACCTTGGTTTTTAACTTGGTTCCTATGGGGAAAAAATCGTGGACTGGTCTGGGTGGGAAGGAACCTTTCAAGGTCTCTAGTCCAACCCCCTGCAGTGAACGGAGACATCTTCAACCAGATCAGGTTGCTCAGAGCCCCGTCCAACCTGACCTTGAATGTTTCCAGTAATGGGCCTTCCCCCTCTCTGGGCAACCTGGGCCAGGGTTTCACCACCCTCAGTGCAAAATATTTCTTCCTTATCTCTTCTGAATCTCCCCTCTTTTCGTTTAAAACCATCACCCGTTGTCATATCACTGAAGGCCCTGCTAAAAAGTCTGTCCCCATCTTTCTGATAAGCTCCCTTCAAGTGTTGAAAGGCTGTAAGAGGCATTAGGTGTCCATGTCTGGTTGTTTTGGAATTTAAGTGCTGAAATATCTCCAAGACAAAAACTCAAGCTGTATATATTGTTGATGCTTTAATTTAAGCTTATTTCTGCTAGGTCAGTATTGGTAAACATCATCTCAGTACTGATCCATGTAAAAATGCAGTAGATGGCCAGAATGGATGAGGCCAGAGCACTGGAAGGACAGGTTGTTCTGTGTAACAGATGCTTGTCATCTGAGCAGTAACTGCACTTTAGGAGTGAACATTTGTGGCTTCTAACTCCAGGGAAGCATGCATGCACATCCAAAAGCAAGGGCTGCCAAAATTATTCTCCATCAGGTATCTGGCAGAGTATGGGAATCATAAGAGCAGTGTCTCTTCAGTACCCATGTGTCTGCAAAAGCCAAGCTCTGGAAAGGAACTAGCTAGTCCCAAGCATCACTTCAGACCTTCTAGTCTCTAAAACTCGATCTGTTTCCCTCTGGAAGGGCTGTGCTTACCCTGGTGTTTCTTCCCACAGCAGCAGACCGAGTGGCAGCGGTACTTGCGCCAGAGCTTGGAAGTGGTTGCAAAAGTCATGGAGCTCTTACCAACTCATGCCTTCTCCACTCTAGTAAGTAGTTATCCAGACCAAAAGTGCGATATGAAATGAGCACCAACTGCTGTAGTTTGTTACAAGCTGTTTGATAGGGGCCACAGTGCCAGATAAATAGGGAGATTTAGTTTTGAATGGAGAAAGTTGGCAAAGAGGAGACCAGAAATTGAAGGGAGAAGCTTATTTTTTTTTTGTTTTGTCAGATTTCTTGGTGTGTTTTAAAAGAGGGTACCTCAGTGAGCATCTGAGTCCTACTTGCTGGACGCTAAACTCTTCAGAAGTTCCCATCCTTCAAAGTGTAAATATTTGACAGCAGTCCTTCCCTGCTGTTTATCTTGGCCTTTATATTAGGAGGCAGCGCAGCAAATTGGACAGAGAGTGTCGTTAGGGTTTTAAGGAGAGTGAAATTGTTGTTTAAATGGAAGTCGAGATACAGATGCTGAAAAGAGCACCTCAAACAATTGGGAATTATATCTGATAAACACAGGGAAGTGCTTCTCTCCAGCTAGTGCCACTGCTGTTGCTACAATCAGTGATGTAAAAGTTACCTCAGTTTGTAAGATTATAGTGCTTTTTGAGGAGGAGATCTTGAGGCTATAAGCTAGTGAAGCCCACAATTCAGAGCAGTTGATGCTTTTTCTCTGGGTGAGGAAAGGCAAGCAGGATCTCAAAGCAAGGCTATTAATTCTTCTGGAGACACTGCATACCTCTGAACCGTATTCCCAAGAAGCAGAGAGAACTGATGTGCTGCAGAGGCAGGAGATGCCTGACCTGAACTGCTTTTTTTTAATTGATATTTTTTATTTAAGAAACATTCTGGCTGAGCTAAGCACTAGAAGCCTATTACTAGAAACTCTGAAGCAATGAACAAAATAGTTTTGGTATGAAAGTAGAAGTTCCTCTGCAGTGTGGTGGCATGGCATGAGTCAGCAGGAGGCAAGCAAATGGAGCAGCTGTTTCAGTGAGCATATGGGTCATACAGTGAAGAGCATGTGGCTCCTTAAGGTAACACATGAACATGAGGAAGACTATCTGGGGTTTTGTTGTTTTGTTGGGTTTTTTTAAATAGTTCTCTTCCTGCAGTTATACAAAGGTGCTCAGCTGTTAATTTGGCACAGCCTGTTAGAAAGTTGATAGTGCTTCCCTTGAGCCCTGTGTTAGTTTGTTTTTGTACCCTGGATAATCTGGCAGGTGCTTAAGCAGTTTCACATGCTTTTCACAGCAGTCTGCAGTGCTGTTAAAAGCAGTGGCTAGTTTATCAGTAGCAAATAATGAAAACGGTTGCCATGACTCTATCTCATGCTGGAGAATGAAAGGCTGCAAGGTCCCTGTGCTGATGGATGAATGAGCTTTCATAAAACTAACCACTTTAAATGTGGTGACTTTGCCCAGGGAAAGTAAGTTAGAACTGTGCCAGACTGAAAGGGTTGGAAAATATTCTTTTAGGTGGAGTATGTGGAAGGAAAAGGTCAGGGTGCAGTTTTGGCCTGTATGTGTACAAATGCATTCAGGCACAAGGCAAAGAGCCCCCTGATAGGTCCCACTGAAATACCTTGGCTGGCCAAATGCTGCTTAGAAGGCTTTGTGGTCTCAGTTTGTAACACACTCCCCCATGGCAGCGTAGCCTGTTACTCAGCTGCAGTATCACCAGGATTAGGCATGTTTGCTGTCGGTCCTGAAGGACAGAGTTAGGCTGACACTGTTCCCAGACCAGGATGCGTGTGACGACTGTGGTGTTTGCTCCCTTGGCTGGTTTCCTGGTGGGGCTTCAGCTGTTCTCAACACAGCCTGCAGCTTTTCAGTGGAGTGCTGCAGTACTTCCCTTCAGAGGCACTGAACTCGCCTTCTTTGGTTGAATAATATTTTGATAGCCACAATTTAAGAATAAGCCCACAATTTATGGGTGAGGTGGATGCAGCACAGGCTTCCTGCCCTCCAGGTTCTGCCTTTCCCCTGCTCTGTTCAGTGTGTGTTCTACATCCATCTTTGTACTCGTACTGGTGGCACGCTGGGCCATCACTTACAGTTGTAAGGCTACTATCTTGTTAGGCTGATGGCTGGTATTTGTGGGAAAAGCAGAGCTACCACAGAGAAGTGCCTTCAGGGTGGTGATCTTTGTTGTTTTCATGACAGCTCTCAAGCTGTGAGAAGCTGTGGCATGCAGGGTCAGCCCAGAACCTAGCAACTTGCCTGTTCTCCAAACATCTCTTTGAAGGCACGAGGGAGAAATAAGAAAACTGTGCTCTAAGAGAGTAATTAGTAGTTGGGTGTTAACTCTCTGCCAAGCTCCAAAAGCACACTCATTTCTTGTCTCTTCTAGTTTCCAGTTCTGCAGGATAACTTGGAAGTGTATCTGGGACTCCAGCAGTTTGTGGTCACTTCAGGGACAGGTAATAACCACCATCCAGCACTGCAGTCCTCACTCTTCAAATAGCTGATTGCAAAAACACTCCACACCTGCTTTGGTGTTGCTTCTTCCATATTCCATTGATCTGAACACATGTGTGGTGTCGAGTGGCTCAGTAGTCAAACTCCAATAGCAGAGAAAAATCTAATAATGTGATTTATTTTTTATTGGTATGGTTCTTCTCTTGTTCCTGTACTCGAAATGAAGGTACCACATGTGTTAAGCACTAGTATGCAGCATCAAATGCTACAGTGACATGGAGGAATAACGGTTATTTTTTTCCTTTCACTAAATCTTATTTTAAGAAATGTTGTGCTCCTGTTTGCTTTGGGCTCAAATCTGATGTGAAGTTGTCCACCATAGGAGCATCTTTATTTAGACTTGAATTCAAACCATTGTGAGTCAATGAGAAGATGAAGTATTTGGGATGTAGTAATAGTTTCTGAAGATTTATCTAGCTAGTATTTCGGGAGCCTTCATGTATAAAGTATTTTACAAAGATACCAGTGCTCTCAACTGAATAAAAACCATGAGTGTAGTTTTGTTGCTCCTTCCTGAGAAATAAGGAAAGTAGTAGCAGTGAGATCTGTATGGGAGAGGATTGCAGCTAAGGTTATGTTTGTTTTCTGGTATGACTGGTGGAGGAATCTGTTACATCTCCAGTACTGCTATACGTGGCAGAATGGTGATTATTGTATAGACAGTTCAGGAAAAAAAGACTTCTATTTTTAGGGTAATTTCAGACCAAGGGTAAGCAATGTGTAGGCTTTTAATGCTGTAGTGACAATCTGTCTTAGAAGCTGTTGTGGGCTGGCTGTTTAGCTGATGGGTCAGAAGATGCAGCTGAGCATTCAGAACTGGGTGGTAGTACACTGGTGCTGATGGTACAAAATGGCAAGCTTGGTCCTGAAAACTTAATCCAAGATTAAATACAAGCTGTGGAAAGAAAAACAGATTTACTTTGAAATGTGGTGTTGCAGAACATAATTTGCTTTTTTAGTAAAAGGTCTGGAATGTTGGGAGACCAGGCAGACACAACCCAGTGGTAGGACAATAAGTAGTAAGACTGGCAAATCGAGTTATCAGTATGTTTTGTTTATCTGAGAAACATATCATAGAATCATAGAATGGTTTGGATTGGAAGGGACCTTAAAAATCATCTAGTTCCAACCCCCCTGCCAGCAGCAGGGACACCTTCCACTAGACCAGGTTGCTCACCACACTTCACATCAGAAGCAAATACACTCTTGATCCGAGTACACTCTGACTGCTGGAACACTTAGAGCATTGTAGCCAGCAGAGGGAGTGTGAGAAACGACCTTCTCAGCAGAGCTGGGATTGCTTTTTGATGTCAACAGATAACCAAAACGGCTCCTTATATAGGTATTAATATCAAATAAAAGCAAATAAATGTATAAAAGGCTGAAGTAGTTGGTAACATCCATTTCAGCCTTTAAAGAGGAATTTGAAGCGTGGCAGTCGGAACAGTGGAACTTGTCTTCCTCAGTTTGAGGATTTGTCACTTGGACAGTGCTCTGATTTGAACTGTGACCTGCTGCCGAGCTAATTTAAAAAGAATGCTTGTAATGTAATTAGAATAAACTTTGTATTTCCTGTTGCTTTGTAATTAGGTTTCCCATCCCAAAGAGCTCTATTTATTAGTCACGAGGTTACGTGTGTTTTCTTGCAGGAGGTTTTTAAAGTATGAGTGTTCAGACTGGTAGGCTCCTAGTCAGTGGCTATTAGCACAAGTGATTATTTACACTTAGATCTGTTGGCTTCATTGCTAATGAACCATAATGTCATTTCAGGTCACAGGCTGAACATCACTGCAGAGAATGATTGCCGTCGGTTGCACTGCTCCCTGAGGGACCTGAGCTCCCTGCTGCAGGCTGTTGGTCGTTTAGCAGAATACTTCACTGGGGATGTGTTTGCTGCCAGGTTCAATGATGCTCTTACAGTGGTGGAGAGGTAGGTATGGGAAGGGAATCGCTGTCCCTTCACCAGTACGAGGAACAATTGTCACCACGGTAGTGAGTGTGTAAACCAGGGTTTCTTTCTGCCTCCCCTTGTTATGATTAAATTGAGATACAAAGAACTCAGTGGCCAGAACCTTAATTGTTACATTCATAAGTGCTAAGTTTCCCAGATGGCTTTCTAAATCTTTAACCAAATAAATAATTAATAGGAGGGATTAAATAAAATCAGTCACTTGAAAAGACTGAAGTGCTTGTTTTCCAGCATCTGCATTCGTGATGCAGTGAAATGGACTGTAGAGTTGACTTACCTCAGAGTTGTATCTCTGAAAGCTAAATCACCAAAATCTCTTTTCTTCAGTGAAACGCTCTGTGAAAACTGAAAGGCAGGTGGCATTTGATGCTTTCCCTCCAAGAAACATAATTAACACATAGTTGCAGGATTTCAGGGCTTTACACAGCTGCTTTGGTTACGTTTTTTTCATTTCCACGCAGGAACATGGTACTTGTTCCATCTTATAACAAATAGTAAAATAAGCTCTAAATTATTTTCAACTAAATGGGCTAATTCTTGTCTACGTATTAGCTAAATATTGACATAGACTTGCCAAGAGCTGCATTCAGAGAAGATGATGGAGTGGATTTCTATGTGTATATCCATCTTACAGTCCCTTTACACTACCATGTATGTGTTCACTTCCAGGTTGGTGAAAGTAACGCTGTACGGATCCCAGATTAAACTGTACAACATTGAAACTGCAGTGCCATCGGTGTTGAAACCTGACCTTATCGATGTGTGAGTATGAGGCAGACACTGCAAGTGGCTGTATCCAAATTTGATACCTACATGGGGTGGAGGAAGCATTAGATCTCCTTGGTCTGGTGCTCTAACAACTTGCCTAGCAAATGTTCCTGATAAACACATCTCTCAGGTGATTGTCAGCTAACCAGGAGGGCACCTTCGTGTAACTGTTGAAGGTCAAGGCTGCTGCCACTGTTTTGGACCACGGTGTCATCAAATACATGCACTGAGGTTATTTAAAGAAAAAGAAAATTGTGATGAGAAGTAAAAATGCCCGTTATATTGTCTCTAAAAGCAAACAGTTATTCTGTCCTAATGACTGGAAAAGCTTCATTCTTTTGCAGTATAATTAAATGGTAAAATAAGTGTTACAATAGTGGCATTTAAGAAATGGATCCACTGTCAGTGTGTAGTTCCAGTTTATGGATTTTTTTGCTACCAAAGTCAGATGTATGACTCAGGTAAAAGATGTTTTTCTTAGCCAAGAACTTGAAACCTGTACTTCCAAGACAAATGTATGCCTTCCAGCTGTGCAAGCCATTTCTGAAACAAATGAATGCCTTCGATCCAGCAGCTGACATTAAGTGTGAAATCTTGATCTTGCTAGTAAATAGCACACCCCTCTGACAGCATTTGAGAGACCCAAGGCTGTGTGCTACAAACCTGTGTCCTGCCAGCTGGCGATTTGTGGGCAGAGTTTAAGGTTGTCCTTGAGAACACGTTAAGTGCTTGTCCTAGTTTGCAATTGCATGTGTAGCAGCTCCTTGAAAACCCCACTAGATTTCATAAAACTGTAGAATTGTTTTGGTTGGAAAAGACTTTTAAGATCATCACATAGTTCCCTGGATTTCTTATAATAATCACAAGTTACTAGCACTGAGTTTTGTGCAGATGGTGTTCTTTTAATGGTCTCAGTATTTTTCTGGTTTAAAATCATTTGGGAGGGTTTTTTTTCCTGTGATCTATTAGTGAAGGGTTTTCATTCTTTTCTCTGTCCATTGTCCCTGAAGAAACTTCTGATCATTTTCTAATATTAGTCTAGAAAAGGTACATTGTCAAACATTTGGAGGACACCCGTCTGTGTGGTCCCAAAGAAATGTCCTGACTTGAAAATCTTCTATGGTGCTGTGTCAAAAGTAGAATGATGAAGTGTGGTTACAGTCAACCTGTCAGTTGATTATCATTTGACTGTATCAATTTATATGTAATGTTTAATACTGTTGCTCAGTGGGTGAGTCCATTTACAGCACTTTTGTACCTTGAAGGTACAGGGTCTAGGACCAGAAAAAAAATAGTAATATATGATTTTTAAAGAAAAAAACCTGCCAGCTTTGTCTAAAAATACCAATATTCTTTCCCAGTATGCTGTCAGCACTACCCACCGTGCTCAGGGCTTGCACCCTTCTGTAGCTGTCCTGCTAGTGCACCTTTTATCCTCTGTGTGTGTATCTTACTCTTGCTCTGCTCCTCCCCAGGCACGCTCAGTCCCTGGCAGCGCTGCAAGCCTACGCGCACTGGCTCGCACAGTTCTACAGCGAAGTCCACCGGCAGAACCCGGAGCAGTTCATCTCTCTCGTCTCCACAGCTCTGGAGGCCATCACACCCCTCATCAGCTCCAAGGTACCTTCAGGAGCGCTGGGTTGCACAAGGCTCTGTCTAGAGCTGAAGACCCTCAAGCAGCAGCACTGTTGTGTTCAGATGTTTAAGAATTGGTTTGGGTTGGGAGAGACCTTAAAGCTCATCCAGTCCCAACCCCCCTGCCAGCAGCAGGGACACCTTCCACTAGACCAGGTTGCTCAAAGCCTCATCCAACCTGGCCTTCAACACTTCCAGGGAGGAGCAGCCACAGCTTCTCTGGCCAACCTGTTCCACTGTCTGACCACCCTCACAGTGAAGAGTTTCCTCCTAAGGGTCTACTCTGGACCACGCTGTGGGTCCTGATGTGAGTCAGTCTGTGAGAGCTGGATATCTGTCTTCCAGAGCCACAGAAAATGTCTTGTGCAAGGTTAGACCAAGAGCAATTCTAAGTGGCACTGTAGGTCAAGCTAATATAACAGTAAGCAACTTACAGGCATATAAATTCAGTCTAATAGCTGGAAAGTGAGGAGGTTTCTCTCTTCCACAGTTTTAAGGGAACTGACCTGTGCTCTGAGTGGCAAATAAACACTATAAACTGTCTTGCTTGCAAAAACCTGGTAGTGGCAGCTTGCTGTGCTGTCTGACACTAGCATTGCACCATAGGGTTCTGTGTTCCTGGGCAGCCTGACCTTGTGCTCCTTCTCTTTCAGGTGCAGGAGAAACTGCTGCTGTCTGCGTGCCACCTGCTCGTCTCTTTAGCCACCACAGTGCGACCAGTGTTCTTGATCAGCATCCCAGCAGTACAGAAGGTGTTCAACAGGATCACAGATACTTCGGCTCAGCGGCTTCCTGATAAGGTGATTTGTCTCAAGCATGAGGAATATGGACTTGGGAAGCTGTGGCTCAGTTCTTACTGTAGTGAGGTATAACCTCACCAAAAAAAAAGAGTTGTGGGGCAGCAGTTATCTCTGTACTGTGGATATTGAGGAATCCCAGTGACACAGCTGGTCAGTAATGATCTGTTTCAAGCAACAGCATAAGGGAAAAAACACAATTGCAACTCTTGAGTCTTATTCTTATAGCGGCCTCCCAGTACCTGAAGGGGCTCCAGGAAGGCTGGGGAAGGACTTTTTCATAAGGGCAGTTAATGACAGAACAAGGGGAAATGGGTTTAAGCTGAAAGAGGGGAGGTTTAGGTGAGATATTAGGAAGAAGTTCTTCACTGTGAGGGTGGTCAGACGCTGGAACAGGTTGCCCAAGGAAGTTGTGGCTGCTCCTCCCTGGAAGTGTTGAAGGCCAGGCTGGATGAGGCTTTGAGCAACCTGGTCTAGTGGAAGGTGTCCCTGCTGCTGGCAGGGGGGTTGGAACTGGATGATCTTTAAGGTCCCTTCCAACCCAAACCATTCCATGATTCTATGATTCCTTCCTCATTTGCTGACACAGTCCCTGACTCTGTTGTCCTTACAGTGCTGCCATGTTGATTCTGACATACAGAAGGAGTTTTCTGTGAAACTTATGTTAGCATTCCCCATACCTCGCTCCAAGTTACTATTTGTCTTGGAGAAGCATGGAAAATCCACAGTGGAGGTTGGGATATTGGGATATGGTTGTATTGTGTGCTGGCACGGGGGCATAAAGTGCTGTACAAGCATAGAAGCTCAGTGTGTAAAGCAGAGGAGGAGTGATGGCAGTGGTGTCATCTTTGTTGTAGGAATATGAAGAACAAAGATTTAGTGTTACAGGGAAACGCTGACATTGCTGGGAGCTGGTTCCAGCCCTTAAGTCATGGAGCTTTGCTTCTCTCTTACCTTGCAGAGCCACTGGTTTTCACTTGGGCTCACCATGTCCTCTGGAACTCTTTCCTCAGTGAGCCCTGCTGATGTCTGGGACAGCCATAAAACATCACTTCACTCGAGGATTGTGCTCAAGCAAAAATTGAATTGCAAACGTAGTAAAACTTTGTCTCTTTGCTTGATGTCTTGTTGCTTCTAGGCCCAGGTGCTGGTGTGCAGAGCGCTGTCAAACGTCTTGTTGCTGCCCTGGCCAAATCTTCCAGAGAGTGAACAGCAGTGGGCAGTTCGCTCCACCAACCACGCCAGCCTGATCTCTGCCCTCACGAGAGAATACCGCCAATTGAAATCCAATGCCATCTTGCCACAGAGGAAAGTGCAGCTGGAGGACAGTACGTACCACGATCCTTGGGGTGGGCTCTCAGCTGCAGTGCCAGCTGCTGACAGGCATTGTTAAGCTGTTTTTCTCATTATTTTGGCTGAGAAACTGTGTTTAGCATATAGAGAGGACAGGAAAGGAGCAATTTTTTTTCTACCTCTCTTTTTTTCTACCTCTCTTTTTTTCTACCTCTCTTTTTTTCTACCTCTCTTTTTTTCTACCTCTCTTTTTTTCTACCTCTCTTTTTTTCTACCTCTCTCTTTTTCTACCTCTCTTTTTTTCTACCTCTCTTTTTTTCTACCTCTCTTTTTTTCTACCTCTCTTTTTTTCTACCTCTCTTTTTTTCTACCTCTCTTTTTTTCTACCTCTCTTTTTTTCTACCTCTCTTTTTTTCTACCTCTCTTTTTTTCTACCTCTCTTTTTTTCTATGGGTGTGCAAAGGGCACTCTCACCCCAGGTTGCCTGGAAACTCATCCATCAAAGTACTGTCATCTTCTGTTGTGCAGGGAAAGTGGGATGAAGTTTATGATAAAACTTTGAATAGCAGTGATTGCAGTAGGAACGCTAACAACCTAATGCTGACTTGCTGTAGATATATTTCTGATATATTAGAAATATTGACTGAAGGCAGCATTAATGAAGATTGTGGTTATAAAAATGAAGGGGGGAAAATAAGAATTTCTTCTTATTCTTCTAGAGGGTGTATATATGTAGGAGGAGAGCCCAGAACTGATGCAGTCCAAGGACCTTTGGAAGTTTTTGTGTATGTTTGGGGATTGCTTTTGGGTGCCTCTTTTTTAAATTATTTTTTTGAGAATCACTTTAAAAATTATATAGAAGTATGCAGTGTCCCAGCTTCTGACAAAACGTGATGTGCTGGTCAGCTGTGGGCAGGGAGGGAAATGGGAGAGGGTGGTTTGCTCCTGACAAAAAGAATATCAGCAAACTGTTCAGTTCCCAGCGTTTGGGTTACACAGTGATTGTGAATCACTCCAGTTGTTACTTTCAGAAATAGAATCTGCAGTATATTTTGCTGTCATAATGTGCTGCTTTTTTCTTGGCTAGTGGTTCTTTAGTGTTAGTGTGTTGCCGATAATATTGTTTACAGCTCCCTGCCACCTCTGCACCTCAGTGGTTGAGCAGTGGGTGCATCTGTAGGGCAGTAAACTTCTATCATTTAAAAAAGTGAGTTGCAATGGTGACCTAATTGAACCAGGTTCCAGTACAGGTTGGGAAATGATCT